TGGTGTGGCTTGTTAGGTGTGGCAGAAGAAGGATACTGCAAAATCCTCATTCCGACCCCACTCCAGGGGAATGATATTGCAAAATCCCCATTCCCACCCCACTCTGGGGCCAGCCAGAAGTGGTGTTTGCCAGTTCTACGAACTACTCAAAATTTCCACTGCCTGTTCTCCAGAACCTGTCAGAACCTGCTGGATTTCATCCCTGCTCTGCACAAATTATACTTGTAGGAAGATCTCTTTGAATAAACTCTACAGCCAATAGTGTTCCTTCCTGCATTTAGCTCCCTCCCCACAAATGGAATATGACATGGCCATGACAACAACAGAACTTGAGATCTATTAGATATATTGATGTATTGTTTTAGAATATTAATATCTTCAGTGTTGCATATTTCATTGCATATAACTTTGAACTTCTTTGAGTTAATGAGATATGGATAATGGTGTATTGGCTCATGGAAAGTGGAGATAAAAAGGTAGTGAAAAGAATTACGTTTTAGAGGTCTGTTGAACTGCATGGTGTTATAGAAATGGGAAGAGTGAAAAAGGGTACCCAGTGGAATGATGATGTGAAAGAGACTGTGGATGAGAATGATGCATGCTGTAATAATTCCTGTAAGAAATGTTGCGAGAAAGAGAGTGTAGAAAGAAAACGATAGCTGCAGAGAATGCTGTCAAAGACATGGTTAAGAGTAAAAATGACAAAGAAAAGGCAATGAGTTCAATAGAAATATTTTTTTTCATTATTTAGCCTTCTTCAGTAGATGAAGAGGGCCAACAAGGGACCTCCAGTGGACTGAATCGGGATAAATTAAGAGTGTATTTGAGTGGACCTGAAATGTGGGGAATTTGGGAATACTTTAGAGATTTGAATATGGTAGGAAATATGGTGATATGTCAAAGACCACAAATTTTAGTTTGTAGGGAAAAAAATTAAAGTAATTCATAAATGCTCTGAGGATAGCAATAGCACTTAGACTTATATACCTCTCCATAGTGCTTTATAGCACTATAGAAAAAAACAATAAAGCTGTAAGAATGAAGTGTGTAACTGAAAAAAATGTTAAAATATTGATTTGGTTGATTGGGAAGATTTCATCTGTCTGTGATGATTGGAATAATGTTATTATCCTATACCCTGGAAAAGGTATAAAGATTGAATGCAAAACTATGAGGAATCAGTTTGTTAAGCATGACTGGGAAAGTATTTGGCAACTCTCCTTCCTTCCTTCCTTCCTTCCTTCCTTCCTTCCTTCCTTCCTTCCTTCCTTCCTTCCTTCCTTCCTCCCTCCCTCCCTCCCTCCCCTCCCCTCCCCTCCCCTCCCTTCCCTTTCATATTTTTGCATGTGAACTTAAACTGAATGGCTTTTGCCTTGACGACATCTGAGTATACTTTATTGCCAGACTTTTAAAAGCTCAATTAAGTCATTTTTGTGCTTGTTCTCTTTCTTCCCCCCCCTTGACACTTGTCTTTGCTGAGTCCCTATTAAGGATTATTATGATCTTTCCATTGGAATCTTGAAGTGAGAATTCTTTGTGGATCAAGCAACTCTATCTTTCTTCAAGGAGCAGCAGTAAGCCTCTTTCTCAGCCCTGCAGGAGCCAAAGCCTGCAGGCCCCCCAAGATCCTTTTTGATTTAAAATTTATTGTAAATTTGCTGATTTAAAGAAAGTGTATGATTAAAGGAATAGGATTGAACAGAGGCATGCTTTGTGCAAATATGGAGTTGAAAGATGGTTGCAAAATGTGCTAAGGCTGATAAATGATGGAAGCGATACATGCATTAGAATAAATGGAATATTTAGCAAATATCTCATTATTGTGGATGGAATAAAGCAAGGTTATTTCCTTGATTGATTGATGTGTTTAGGTATCCTTGTGGTGACATTAGAAGTGTTTGTTTGGGACATGAATGTTTGTATGCAGATAATGCCCTGTGGTCTATGGTGATTCTCAATCATCCACGTTGTGGTTGTCCCAAAAGTGTTTTTTTCGAAGAGCAATTGGACTTTCTTGGGTTTTTTTTAATTGAAAATGTTTCACTTCATATCCAAGAAACTTTTTCAGTTCTGAACTGAAGAAGCTTCGTGGATGACAAGTGAAATCTTTTTGAAGAAAAAAATCAAGAAAATCTAGTTGCCTTTTGGAAAAAGCACCTTTGGGATTATACTGTGTTGCTGACTGAGAAATGGAATGGTTTGCAATAAATGTTAGATAAATTGTATGATCAGCAAGGAGTATGGATCTGAAATTTAATGTATCTAAGATCTGTTGGAGAGGGAAAATGAAGCAAATTATTGAAAGTTGTACATCAATTATAAAAATTAAGAGCAAGTACATGCATTTGCAGGTTATAATTTATTATTCTAATTCTTCTGCTCAAATTATTACAAGTAGGATTATTTGTCTATCAGTTAAAATGCTAATAGTTTTAAGTAATAATAATTTTTATTGAAGTGTAAAATACAAGGATAAAAAATTAATACAAACCAAGAAAAATACACAAAAGAGCAAAAAGTGCAGATATAAAATAGTTCTATATATTCTGATGCTCTTATTTTTTTGGTTTTCTACATTTTACTCCTGTGTTTTTTACCATGTTTTACCATGTTATATAAAACATTTTTTTAAAAAAATAGAAGCAAATTTGGTCTCACCTCACTTCCTTCCTGTTCCCATCCTTATGCCATGCTTTGCTTGATGTTAACTAGTACACCCACCCACACATACGTGCATAATACATACATGCATGCATATATAAGTTGCAAAAGACAAGCGTTTAGAATGAAGCAATGGGCAATGCACATTACACACATATAAATTGCTTGAACTGAACTAATCTCACTGCCCTTGAACTCAAAAGTACTCCTCTGGATATTCCAAACATCCTTTATTTTAATATTATATTGAGATATATTATATATTCATTATTTCAACAGTTCTATTTCTGTAGAAAAATGTCATTATTTTAACTGCTCTTGTTAACTGCTGAAAATTTGAAAGCTCCTAGCAATTACTGCAAATCACCCAGAGTTCTATCAATAGATTCTAATCTTCTTTCTTCACATTATTGCTATAAAAAAGCAGCATAATATATTATCCCTTGGACTTAGTTATGCTTTATCATGGTCTCCTGTCCCAGATGATGAAATGCAAGAATTGATTGTAAACCTTATAATAAAAAGATCCTCCAACTGCATTCATTGAGACCAATCTTGGGCTCATGAATCCTTTTTTATCTACAAGCTCTGCATCTGCAAAATTATTTCAGAATTAGGCTTATTTAAAGTACAGAAAACAACCAAGCTCAGAGAGCACCAAGGACCCCCTCGTTTCAACCCTGAATTACAAATACTCTCCTTAAAATTGAGAATGTTTCTTTTGAATATGAGAGGAACTCTTATCAATTTTTTGAGGCAGCTAATCATTTCATTGGTTGAGTCTGTAGATATACAAACAAAATTTCAAATCCCTGGAATACTGCCAAGTCTTTCTACATCCAAACATTTCCAATTATTAAAAGTATTCTAGCCCATAGTGGTGCAATTCAGAGTAATTTTGAGTGAGCAATGGAATTAAAATGTAGGAAACCATCACTTCTGATTTAAGAAGTGCTTCTTAGATTAGAATAGATGATTTTTCTTTCTGAAGGCTGCCTTTTGTCTTTAAGATGATGGATGCTAGCTTAATAAGGCTGATCGATTAGATTTTTGGTGTCATCCAAAAACATAATGAGGTTTAGTTAACGACATCAGTTGACTAATAGTTCTCTCTTCAAATGTCATGGGGTGGAGCTAACGTCTGTGGCAAATACTTTAAACTTAGAACTTTCTGAAATGATTACATTTAGACCTTTTTATTGTAGTTTTTATGCCTCTATAACTTTATACTTATGTATCTCAAAATATTTGTTGTTCTAATCATATATTCATGTGCAGTACTGAATATTATATCCTAGATTTATGAACCCCAGACCAACTCCTATTCAAAGATTAAACTAAGAAGTTAATACTTAAAATATTCAATGGAATAATGAGTATAAAATACATTAAAATATGTGAAAGTTGGCATTATAGAATCCACGCTCATAGGGATATCATTCCATTTCTCCTAACAGGAAAAAAAACCCCTTCTGTTCTCACCAATCTAATTTTAGAAGGAGATTTCTAGAGAAAGGTTTTGGAGAATGACCAGACCATTAAAGGGAAAAGATCATATTGATTATACAAATTTTACATGGTTGTGTTGCATGCCATGTGGGGCTTAAACCCATCATTTTGTGTTGTACTCCAGTTGACATTGGTAATAAATAAAATGGTTATAGAATTGGTGAAATATATTCTATAGATATGGCCCATTTATTCTATCAACTCTGTTTAGAACAAGTGAAAAAATTAAAATCACATTTTCAAGTTAGCCCCAAAATATGTTTGATAGTAACTGCACTATCTCTAAAGCAGAGCAAATTCATTGAATTCAGGCATAATAATGATTAGACTACAGAAACGTAAACATAACAAGTTAATAGTGACTGAAAATAAATTCCATTTACATATAGTCCTGAATCTATGGCCATTCCTTTACCAATGATTCAAAGTTACAATGGCCTCAAAAAAAGTGACTTATGATCCATCCTCAATAATACGACTGTCACACTACCCTCACAGTGATGTGATTACAATTCAAGTACTTGGCACCTGGTTCACATTTGTGATGGTTACAACGTCTTGCAATCACATGATCATAATTATTTCCTAGCCAGCTTCCAACAAGCAAAGTTAACTGAAGAAGTCAGATTAATTTAACTATTACTTGATTCATTTAATGACCTTACGATAAAATGTTTATAAAATCAGGTCTGGTCATGTGATGACTTAATTAATGACCTTATTCCTTATTATCAAAATTCCAGTGCCAATTGTGGTTTTTAGTCAAGGACTACCTGTATTTCAGAAGGATTTTTTAAAAATACCTAACACACCAATGCTTCATTTTATAGAACTGGTCTGCAAGATAAGAAATGAAATCACTGGATGCCTCCTGTCCAGATGCCTGGCCTGGGAAGATATTGGACAGTAACTGATACTGAAAATCATCAAACATGTCCAGAAGGAATCAGATGGATAGCAATTTCACTGCCATATTTTTCTGTAGGTATAAATAATCCCATTGGGTGAATAGTGCCTTTTCAACTTCCAAATCAGTTGGAAATCCAATTTGAAGTTGATTTAGATTAGTGCACCCCAGTATTGGAATTGTATAGGATCACTCCTTATAACAGCATTTTTCTCAAAAAAGGAAAGCCTGTTGAAATGTTGAATAAAGAAGCAGAGTCAACTACATATCTACACTTTGGGCAGTAATTTTATACACAAGCTATTGAAAGGAATGCCCCAGGTACATTTCCACAGGCTATGTGTTTCTCAGAGGAGAGATATTGTGGTTTCTTTACTCAAGGAGACATAGAAAAGGACAGACTGATCTTAATTTCCTTTTATTTTTTGTACTAGGAACATAAAACTAGCTAATCCACTCGTATTTTAAATTGTAATAAAAACCACTCCTTTTATTTAGGGCTTTTGGGTTTTGTATGTTACTTTTAAAATAATTCTAAAAGCTTAATTTAGAATTAACACCTGCTAGTTGACTGTGTATAGTTGTTAACTGTAATTTTTTTCCTGGTAAATTGCAATGTAAGCTTCTTCTGAGCTATAAATAGAACCTAAATGTAATTTCATATCTTAGAGCGTTCTCTCTATTTGTAATACAGATACATAAGAAATCTCATGCGTTAACTATGTATATATTTCTATGCACAGTTTTGAGTTTTGAATCTAAGTTGCATCCAGTGATGTCATTCCTCTAGTGCAAAGCTTCTATAGTTTTATCTTTAGTGGGACCCATTATTTTGATAATCCTTGAGCAAATCATTTCACAGCACTGAAATATTTTGGTACAGAGTAAAATGGTAAAGAGTCAGTCTAAGCCTACAAGTTACGTTAAAGCATTAAGCATAAAGTATTTGCTAACAATAAGGATGCAGAACCAATGCTTCATTATCTAGTTAATACTAAAAGCTTCTCTTACTAAGAAGCAATTCTAAATTATTCTTTATGTATTCCTGTTTCTTTCCCTTTTTTTTGGAATACAGGGTCATTCCATGTCAAGTGGTCTGGGGCTCCCAGTTCGACCATCATGGATTTCAATGAAATTTGATGTGAACATGTCCCCAATGAACATTGGTAAAGTCTTACTCTTTCCGATGCAATACTTGCAGAAATATAGTCATTTGTTTGACCCCATACCGCAGCCTTCTACAGTATGACACTGAGGTTTCAGCAACTTTGAGACATAATATCTCCGGCAATATTTTGTTGAGAGAAACAAAATTTGGCCATCTTCTCCAACTTGATGTGCTCTATTAAACAAAATAATAAGAACATTCTCATGAGTGATCTCCATCTAGATAATTTGGAGCAAAGTTAGCCAAAAATGACTGCAGCGCAAAAAAAAGGGTAAAGTTTGACTTTTTATATCTCTGGAAGGAAAGATATGGGAAATGTAAAACTTTGTGCGTAATAACAAGGTTTTTGAATATAAAATTTCATTCTCCTACTGCTTTCCAATAGTTCACAAATTGAGTGTAAAGGTGACGGTTTTTGTAAAAATGAAATTTCATCAAAATCTGTGATGGTCGAGCTGGGCACTTTTCTGAAATCAGACCACTTGACACAGCAACATTGTTTCAGGGAAAGTCTTTAGACTTCAACTACTTTGTTCTTGTTCTCACTAAGTCATGTCCAACTCTTTGTGACCACATGGACCATGGCAGCCCAGTTCCCTCCTATTCTCCACTGTCTCCTGGAGTTTGCGCAAATCCATGTTCAACATCAGGGTCTAGGACTAGTTTTTTTAAAAAATAGCTTTGGTGGATTAAGGCAAGGTTCTTTTTATCCCAGCATTTTCTTTTCCACAACGACCTATTGGATGTTCTGTGGTCCTTCTGAAGAGGAGGGGAAGGCATAACCTTTTCTTGCCTCAGTTCTCCTGCAACTGGTACTGTATTGAAGCATGCTGTGTATCTTCTTCTTCTTGTGACATATCTGTCATTGGACGTTGGCAATCATATTGGCGATCCTGTGTGTATCCTGGAAGTAATATGAGACTAATAGTTTTAATTGAACTATCCTTCCTGAATTTATCCAGTTCCCTTTGGAAATAATATAATCACACTTTGATTATATCATGCCTTTTCTCCCAAATGAAAGAATATCAATTTTTAAAAATCTATTTTAATTTAAAGAGGTGTTCAAAGTTCTGCTCAAACTTCTGGTTTCCCTAATCTGGATACTACTACAGTTATGTTGGGAGTGCCAAAGTGCTTCCAGGTTGAAAGGATTTGCTAGTAACATCACGGTTGCCCAGGGGTGCCCAGTTGTGGGCTCCTTTCATGTCTCCTTTAATCTGACCACTGATATGGTACCCATCTCACAGTTGCCTTCTTTCAAGCTGCTGGGTCGGCAGGAGTTGGAGCAAGTGACTGGAGTTCACCCCATCCTGCAGCAGTAACTGGGTCTCGAATACAAGCCTGTCAGTCATCAGCCCAACGTCCTAAGTATGTGAACCCCCACACTCCTTAATCTGGATTACAGTGTTGGCAGTTTATTTTTAGTTCTTTTCCTAATGATCTGAGGCATGGCATTTGCTTTTTCACAGCTACCACACAAGGAATTGACATGTTCATAAATTGACTATCCACTATGATCTGAATACCTTTTTCCTCGTTAGTTCCACACTGCTCAGACCCCTTTGGTGGATGTATCTATGTATATAGTTATTTATTAAAACATGGGTTCAACTGAATCCTGGTTGTTTGCCAAATAATCATATGCACTTTAGAATAATAAAGAAACAACAAAATAAAGCTATAAAACTATAAATGCTATCCTAAGCGCTGATTGAAAACCAGCCAATCAACCAACCAGTTCCAAATGCCCTGAGTTATAGTTCCATCTTTATTCAAGGCCTTTCTGAAGGATGTCAAGGTAGGTATAACTCAAATCTCTGGTAGGAGGCTGTTCATAAAATGAAACAAAGTATAAATAAAGTGTGTGTGTCTGTGTGGGAGGAGAATTGCCACAAAGTGCATTGTATTATAATTACTTAAACTGAATTGAATTTACCAGTTGATTGACTGGTCCCAACCCAAAGAGGTAGCTTTGATGCAGGGGTGAAATCGAGCAGGTTCTGGAGAATCAGTAGCGGAAATTTTGAGCAGTTCGGAGAATCGGTAGCGGAAATTTTGAGTAGTTCAGAGAACCAGCAAATACCACCTCTGGCTGGCCCCAGGGTGGGGTGGGAATGGAGATTTTGCAATATTCTTCCCCCAGGAGTGGGGAGGCAATGGGGATTTTGCAGTATCCTTCGCCTGGAGTGGGGTGGGAGTGGGGTGGGAATGGAGATTTTGCAGTATCCTCCTGCCATGCCCCCCAAGCCACGCCCACCAAGCCACGCCATGCCCACCAAGCCACGCCCACAGAACTGGTAGTAAAAAAAAATAGGATTTCACCACTGCTTCGATGTGATGTCTTTCTCCATGCTAGAGCCACATGTCCCACTTCCTTCTTTCCAGCTTTCTTTCCTTCTTCTATTCACTCTAATCTTTCCTTTGGTTGCTTATGGAGATTTTCAATCACCCAAGTCATGGTTGTCCCAAAGGTGTTTTTCCAAAAGGCAATTGGACGTCCTTATTTTTTTTTTCCTTTGAAAATGTTTCAGCTTTTCATCCAAGAAACTTTGTCAGTTCAGTTCAGGAGAGTCCAGTTGCCTTTTAGAAAAGCACTTTTGGTTGTTTCTCTGGTTCTTCTCTTGACTGAGAGAAGACAAAGCAACTTTTCCCAGCTCCAAACTGCTGCCCACTAAACAAGAACAAATTAATGGTGAGCACAGGGGAATCAAGAAGGGCCACCAAGGTGGAGTCACTCATCGACCAATAGAGACACCCAATATTAGGGACTTTCAGAAAGGATTTCATTGATTGACAATGACAGCTGATTGACTGATTATGTGCCATCAAGTCATTGTCAACTCTTGGCAGCCATATTTATTTCTTATTTTTTTATTTATTTTATTTCATCAAGCATGTATTTTATGACAGATACAAGTGTAAACATAATTATAAATACATGAAAAGGATACAAATAAAAGAAAACATTAGGACAGGGACGGTAGGCACGCTGGTGCGCTTATGCACGCCCCTTACAGACCTTTTAGGAATGTGGTGAGGTCTACAGTAGACAGTCTAAGGTTAAAGGTTTGGGGATTTGGGGAAGAAATATATAGATAGATATCAATGATAGCTACTGTTGTTTAACCAGTTAACTTCATTAATTGCACAGGAAAGCTAAATAATCAAAATTTGCTTATTTCAGCATAGAGATGCAATGTTGTTATTCAATAAATCAATGACAAAACTTTTACAGAATAAAAAGATATCTAGAGCAATTGCAAGTGAGTTATATTATTTAGTTGAGGTGAAAATATGATTCATGAGTTCTGGCATGTGGGTTTTTTTTATTAGATTCACAGACTTTGCTAAGTCTTTAACTCTGCTTTACCAACCACAGTGGTTGTGTTCCTATATATGTGAAGCAATCAAACAATATTGTGATTCAACACAATGGTAGCATTTAATCTTTGCTACTTTGATAATGCAATACTCCAAAATGAAGTATGTGCATTTTGCAGCTGCAGACATCCTACTAAGATATTCACATAGTAGGCAAGCCCTTATGTTGCAGCCATTTAGACTGCAGGTATCAGTGAAGGCAAGATAGAAGTCATAATGATGAATCAGTTGATAGCTGCAGCTCCAAGGATATATTTAATTTCTATATTACTTTTATAAGGATTGCTTATTTTAATCATTGATAGGATGATAGAATTGCTAATTACACAAAGGGGAAACAAAAGGGAAAAGATGGAAAGGAAGGGAAAATACGATTTAATTTTAAGTAATATTTTCATATTTTAGCTTCTCAGTTTAAAAATTCAATTTCTTTAATCATAGATCCTAAGTAAAGTGACTCCATAAATATCCTGGCCAATGCATCATGGTGGTGACTCACTTGAGGAAGCCACACTGGGTGCATTCTTATAAAGCAATATGATGTCAGGAGTACAACTTACCTAATGAAATATGCCATAGTTATGGTAGATAGTATCTACTTCTTGACATTTGGCAGGACAAGTTTAGCATTGGTTTTAAAAGTTTAAAGGACTGAAGGAAGATGCAAACTGCATACACACTTTTATAAAAAAAAAGGCTTTGAACACATATTTTTCTTTTGGTTCCAATGGAAAATCCCTTGTTTCATCAGTGCCTGTTGAAGGTAAGTCCTGAAACTATGTAAAGTACTTTCTACTGAGTAACATTAAATGAAATTAAATTCCTCAATGCATCTAAGTAAAATGTTTATGAATAATTAATAAAAACAGAATTTTTTTTTAAAAAAATCACTTATTTGTACAAGAGATTTATACTTTCCTTCTTGAATGATTTCTCCCTGATGATATCTGTTCCCCATAACTTTCAGGTTTACAAGAACACTATTTTTCATATTTTGCCAAAATTAAGCAGAATCAGAGATGAAACATAATCATTCTACTGAAGCAATCTTAACCTGCTCCTTCCATTTTTCTTCCACTCTTTCATACTTAATAGGAAAGGAAGTGAAATATAATTTCATTAATTAAAACAGCAGGAGAATTCTACACAGCCATGCTTTTAACTTTAATTACCTAATCTGGAAATTGACCAATACTTGGGACTTCAACCCTTGTTCAGAATTTTGCAATAATTTATCTACTTTTATCTACAAGATCTGAAAAATGGCAATGAAGTTGCTGTACTAGTACACTGCAGTCAGTTGTGAGAAAAAGTTATTATTTGAATGGAACAGCATCAGGAAATAACAGACTATACTGGGGAGTAAAACAAAAATGTTGAAAGAAGGCAATGATTATTAGCTGCATCCATACTGATTCCAAAATAACTATATGGTTGTGTCCATGAAATTGACACAGAGTTGAGCTTCATTGTGTTTACAATAAAATAGCTTAATGGATATTATCATATATTGGTAATATGATTTATGAGTGGTAAGAATGTTAAGCTTATCAGAAGACTGGAAGATCAGTCCTAAATTTATCTGCACGCAATGTGATAAGTTGCCATCTTTTGTAGAATATAAATGGGTATCACACAAATTCACAAAACATTTTCAGTATTTTTTAACGTTGTTGGTTTGTGTTGATTTACATTGTATTCATGTTGTTGCTGGACGATGATGAATTTCAGTTTATGGTAAGTAAACCATTTGAAAGCTGGTCCATTTGGTCCAGTGGTCAAGCAGAAAATAATATAAATGGACAAAGTGGTTTTC